AGTTTATATGGCAAAACTTCACAGGAGCTGGACTCAGGGCACACACATGTAATCCCAGGATACAAGAGGCAGAGGCAGGAGATTACAAGTTTGAGCTTAGTGTAAATAAGTGACTTAGCAAAACTTCGTCTCAAAATTTTAAAAGGGCTGGAGATGTGTTCAGTGCATAGGCCCTGGATTCAATTCCCAGTACAACAACACAAAAAAACTTACTAGAAGAGGTATCATCAACATCACATAGAAAAGAAAACTGTTGCTGAGGTAAAACTTTGTCAAATTCACAGAGAAGTCTGGAATCGAGTCCAAAGCTGGAATTCTTTTCACTATACATCCCTCCTTCTGCCTCTGTAGAGCACTATGTTCTTTGTGTGTGTGCATGTGTGTGTGTGCGTGTGTGTGCATGAGCACATGAACGTGCAACAAGATCACCTCATGCAGCTCAGGGTGGCCTTGAACTCGAGGTGATCCTCCTGCCTGAGTGCTGGGATTTCAGGGGTGCACTACCACACAGGACAACTACGTTCTGAAGTATAACCAACCTCCTTTGGAGTTCATGGGCCCATATGTCGTGCTTTGAGGCCATACTGGTAATAGGAAGTAAACGTAGAATGTTTTTATTGGATTGCATCAAACAGCCCTGTTTTGGGTTTAGTTTTTTGTCCTGTTTTGGTTTTTGTTTTTTTGAAACAGGGTCTCACTAAGCTGCTAAATTGCCCAAAGTGGACTCAAACTTTCTCTCTTCTCAATTTAGCCTTCCAGACAGCTGGGATTACAGGTATTTGCCACCACACCTGGCTTTTTCGTGGTTGTATTTTGGGGTTCTTTGGTTTTTATTTTGATTTTGGGGGGTGGATCTTGCCATGTACTTTAGGTTGACCGCAAATTCACACCGATCCTCCCTGCCTGAAACTCCTGAGTGCTGGGATTATCACCATCAGCCTTTTAACAATGATTTTTTTTCAGACGCTTCTGTCTCGATTTAGGTCCCCTCCCATCCAGATCGTTTACTCTGCACTTGTCTACACGAAGGAGACGTGGGGCGGGATGCAGGCCCATGAGCACCAAGGCTCCAGAGTGCTTCATGCCCTACATCTTTCCTACACCGTTCCAAAGTTGACATTTTGCACCCCAAGGCAGAATTTTGCACTTAGTGCTACAGAAGTTCTCTTGGTAAGAGGGATTTATTTTACTGCAGCCGTTGTCAGAGCCAAAGTTGCTCCTCCTGACTGCTCACCCTTAGTACACGTGATCTGCATGCCTTGTTCACCGGGCGCAAGTGCACTGAGGTTTGCCCTTTGCTCCATAAGGTGGCATTCACACCTGCCCCGCGCTGAGCTCAAACCCAGGACCTCCCACACGGCTCGGTGCACGCCCTACCACTCGGCTACACCCCCAACCCGGGCCCTGCATTGCATTAAGACCCTGAAATTCAAGTCTTCCAGATCTACAGACCCTTCCAGGATAGCAGACGAAAGTAAGATTTCGTACATATCAGAGAAACCCAAGTGGACACCGTTACCCACATAACCACCACTGTGGGGCTCCAGCCTCCTTCCTGTGTTCCTCTCCACACAGGCCCAGGGGACAGGACTGGGGGAATCCAGACCTCCCTCCCCAGATGTCTCCATCTCAGATGTACCACTTGCTTACTACTACTACTACTACCCGCAAATTCCTTAGCACATCAGTGCCCTCCTCCCTACCTGTGAAATCGAGGCAGTAATAGTAGCTACTTAGAAAGTTCACGTCTGATAATAAATTTCGACTTCACAACTAGAGCCGAGCTTGGTGGCGCACACCCATAATTCCAGCGCTCTGGGAGGCTAAGAGGAAGGATCACAAGTTCAAACCAAGCCTGAACAATTTAGCGATGCAGTGAGACCATCTCAAATTGGGCTGGGATATAACTTGGTGCCAAGGCCCTGGGTTCTAATCCCTGGTACTCAGGGGAAACTCACAGCTAGCACTAGAAAAGGAACAATACACTGGAAGACCGTGAGAATTAAAGCTTTTTCAGAGGAAACTGTACCTTTGCTCACTCGTCCCACTTCAAACTGTCTCCATATCCTATGGAATAATCTGCAGCTTGTCCTTTATTCCTCCACCATTCCCTGATACAGCCTTATCCTGTAGGTCCTGTTAAGAGCAGCACAATTTGCTTAAAGCAAATTCTGGGCGTCAAAGGCAGAGCATAAGTACTGTTAAACTTCTTTCCCTAGGGATCGAACCTGGTGTCTCATGCCTGCTAGACAAGTGCTCTAACCATTACACGATACAAATCAAACTGTCTCCTTATAACGTTGAGGAGAAAAAGGATACATCCTCACCACTCAAGTGTTTCAAACTAGGTGACGGTGCATTCATCTCTTATGGGAAACAGCAAAATCTGTAGAATTACCCTTCTCCCAAATTTGCCTTCAGTATAGGAAATGGCAGCTTCTAGGGCATTCTTATTCAAACAGGTGTGTATGAAAAAGCTAAATTACATTGTAACCATCAGCCAGGCCTGGTGGTTCACACCTGTCATCTCAGCTATTTCCTAGGCTGAGGCAGAAGACTCAGGAATCCAAGGCAAGCCTGGGCTAGTTAGGTCCTGTCTCAAATTAAAGAAGGGATGGGATGTAGCTCAGTGGTAGAGTGCTCCTGGGATTAATCACCAGTACTACGGGGGGGGGGGGACGGGACACAATATATGTAAGGAAAAACTATCTTTGTTTTTTACTTTAGGCCGGATCTTGCTATGTAGTTCAGGTTGACCTCAAATTCACACCGACCCTGCTGCCTGAAACTCCCAAGCGCTGGGATTACAGGAGTGCACTCCCAGTCCTGGCCTGCAACCCTTTTGGTCTCACTCTGTCATCCAGGTTGACCCCAAACTCGCAGTGATCCTCCTGCCTCAGCCTCTTGAGTAGACTGCAATCTTAATTACCAAGACTACCAGGAAGATTGAGTGGCACTCCGGGAGCCTACATTTTCTTAATCCAAAACTTGAGGATTTAAGCAAACTCAATGTGAAAAATAAACATTTATTACAAAAATTACTTTTGATGTTTTAAAATGAAAGACACAGTATTTTCCAACTCCAAAGAGCTGTCATAAACTGGAGAGGTAAACACCAAAGCTGATGAGTGACTCCTGCTCACAAAGGGCCAAGTGAAGAACTTGTCACCCCAGACCTAGAGCAGACAATCACCCATTTTATTTCCTCAAAGCTCTCCTTCAGGCCCCTCCCACCCTGCCATCCAACCACAGTGCAGAACTGGGTACATTTAAAATTTTCATCCTTACTCAAGCATTTCACCTCTCATCATCTCAGAGTATCTTATCTGCCCTGGAGAAAATGATTTAATACATAACCATTAACAGCTTGAGTTTTGCTCTTTTGGGGGGCTGGGGTCTTTGAACATTTAGGGGTGTGGTAGTACATGCCTATAAACCCAGCTACTAGGAGGCAGTGACATGATCAACAGTTCACTCAACCTAGGCAACTTAAGGCCTTGTCTCAAAGCGGGAGTGGGGGTGGCTCAGTGACAGAGCGATTCCAAACCTGAGCCCCTAGTTTCATTCTCGTTGGGGGTAGGAAGGACACCTTGTTAGGGGTTTCTAGCCTCCAACTAAATAAGCAAAAGCAAACCTAGAGGACCCTTTTATTTGTCCTCTATTTAACAGATTGCAGGTCTGTGGTAGATGGGAAACTGAAATTTAAGGGCAGAAGAGACCAAAATAGCTGAGTGTGGGAATACATGACTCTGATCCTTGCTACTCCAGAGATTGAGGCAGGAGTAAGCCCGGGCAACTCACAGACCCTATCTCAAAATTTTTAAACGGTGAGAACGGGAAGCTGGAGGGGTAGCTCAGTGGTAGAGGGTTCGCCTATCTTGTACAAGTTCCTGGGCTCAATCCCCAGCATCATAAAAAAATAAAAGAAGACCCAAATAGGAGGAGGAATTCAGACAACTAGGCCAATCCTTATTCCTGCCCCTATCTTAAATTATCTTCTGAACCCTCCACTCACTAATTTAGTATAAAAGGGTTTTCCAAATGACCTGAGAAATCACCCTCGGTAGATTTTCCTCTAGTTTTGGGGAGCCCATTGTTTATGCAGGAGGAGGCACTGCCTCCTTTCATCTGGTGGAGTGAACACAGCTCAGGCTTCTCCCCAGCACCCTTCTCCAGCAGAGGAAGGCAGGCACATACAGGGGGATCTGGAACAGCGGTCTGAATTCCAGAAGTGAAGGGGCAGCACAGGGCCCCGAGATCAGCCCCTGGCGGCCAGGAAGCAGAGCTTTGAGGCATTTTCCTGTTTGTACAAAGGAGCTCAGGGATCCTCAATGACCTCACTTGCCCATTCCCCACAGAAAGAAGCATTGACAAACCAAGTTTTTATTTCCAGCACATCCAGCTAATTCAAACACACACAAACCATGTCTCACCAAAGAGCTGAGAAGCTCTTCAACACACCACTCAGTCAGCATACAGTGAAGACCACAGACTCACTCTCTCTGCCTCAGACAAAAGCCAAGACTAACACGCACACATCCCCACAGCCCTCCTGATATCTTCTAAGGGTCTGTCCAGTTGCCCCAGCTTTCTTTCCTTTAGATCCGTGGTTTTAAACATGTTTTGCTCCACATCCCTGAAAATTGACTCTGCTTCCTTATTTTCTCAGACACAGTGTCAGTCTGCTTATGTTCAGGAAGACGGGGCAGGAGGGTCCCACGGGCACTTTTCATGGGAAGACAGGCAGGTGGGCTCCAGAGACGGAAGAGACAACATCACGACCAAGCCACCATCTCAGCTACTTCACTGTCCAGTCCCCCGTCTAGAACGGCTGGCAGCGGAAAGCCTAGGAGTCAGACTCAAGATCCTTGTCCACAGGTCAGGGCTTTAGCTCTGTGGTTCTGCTGTCTGCCTCGGAAGCACAAGGTCCCAAGTTCAATCCCCGGTACAAAAAAAAAAAAAAAAAAAAAAAAAAAACTATAA